ATTGGGGTGGGGGTGTTGGGTGTCAAGGGGTGGGATTTTGGGGTCCCGTTGGGGTGGGGGTGTTGGGTGTCAAGGGGTGGGATTTTGGGGTCCCGTTGGGGTGGTGGGGGTGGGATTTTGGGGTCCCATTGGGGTGTTGTGTCCTGGGCTCCGTTGCCACCAGAATTTGGGGCTCTGGGTGGTCTCCCCTCCTGTTGGGGGGGGTGGGCTCAGTTTGGGGGGTCCCATTGCCCAGCAGAGCCATCCCACGGCCGCAGGGGGGGGGTGGGATTTGGGGGCATCCCGAGTGGGTCCCCCCGGGCTGGGGGGTTGTGTGTGTGTGTTTGGGGGGTTCAGAGGGACCCACGTGCCCCCCCGGTGCCCCCCAGGCTGTCGCTGCTGCTGCCGCCGGAGAGGCTGGAGCGGGTCCTGCAGCTCCTCGTGCGCTTCCACGCCCAATTCCTGCGGGAATTCTCCTGAGAGAGGCGGGAATTCTCCTGAGGGATGCGGGAATTCTCCTGAGAGAGGCGGGAATTCTCCTGAGAGAGGTGGGAATTCTCCTGAGGGATGTGGGAATTCTCCCGAGGGGTGTGGGAATTCTCCCGGGGGAGGTGGGAATTCTCCCGAGGGATGTGGGAATTCTCCCGAGGAAGGTGGGAATTCTCCCGAGGGATGCGGTAATTCTCCTGAGGGATGTGGGAATTCTCCTGAGGGAGGTGGGAATTCTCCCGAGGGAGGTGGGAATTCTCCTGAGGGATCCGCCCCGGGAGCAGGCAGGGATGGGCAGGGACCATGGGCAGGTCTGGCATTCCCGGGATCCGGGGATGGATCCGCGCTCAGCCAGGGGGGCTCCGCCCTGGATTTGGGAGCCTCTCCCGATGGAATTCCCGGGGGATCTTCCCCAGCGGCTCCATCCGGGAGCAGATCCACCATTCCCAAACCAATCCCGGTTCCTGTGCTGTGACTTGGATGTGCTGGGGGGGGAGGGAGGAGGAGAATCCAGTGATGGATTCCTGGGATCCAGGACGGACTGTGGGATCCAGGGATGGATTTGTTTGATCCAGGGCTTGGATTCCTGGGATCCAGGGTTTGCATTCCTGGGATTCAGGGATGGACTGTGGGATCCAGGGTTGGATTTGAGGGACTCAGGGATGGATTGTGAAATCCAGGGTTGGATTCCTGGGATTCAGGATGGGATGCAGGGTTTCGATTCCTGGGATGCAGGGTTGGATTCCTGGGATGCAGGGTTGGATTCCTGGATCCAGGATGGGATCTAGGATGGGATGCAGGGTTGGATTCCTGGGATCCAGGATGGGATGCAGGGTTGGATTCCTGGGATCCAGGATGGGATCCAGGATGGGATGCAGGGTTGGATTCCTGGATCCAGGATGGGATCCAGGATGGGATGCAGGGTTGGATTCCTGGGATCCAGGATGGGATCCAGGATGGGATGCAGGATGGGATGCAGGGTTGGATTCCTGGGATCCAGGATGGGATCCAGGATGGGATGCAGGGTTGGATTCCTGGGATCCAGGATGGGATCCAGGATGGGATGCAGGGTTGTGGCACCCGTGGCTACCCAAGGAATCTCCCATGGATCTGGGATCCCTGGAGCCTCTCCCAGTGGAATTCCCGCTGGATCCCCAGCACCAGGTCCATGTCCCAGCGTGGCTGTGCCTTGGGAAGGGTCTGGGATCAGCATCCACAATTCCAGGGAGGATTTGGCAGGAAACCCAACTGCCCTGAGGGTTCATCCCACTGGGAGTGTTGTGGGAAGGGCTGGGGGTCCCCTCTGCTCCTTCCTGGGCCCAAAACACCCCCACTCCCATTCCCAGTTGGGTCCATTTATTATACAGGGATAAAATTCCCATAAAAGGCCCCAGAGGGCTCCGTGGGGGTGTCCCCACATTCCCAGGGGATATTCCCAGGGGGACATTCCCAGGGGATCATCCCATGACTCTCACATGGTGGTCAGGAGCTCCTGGGTGGCCAGGCGGGCCAGGCCCTGGAAATCCAGGCGGAGATGCTTCCTCCAGAAACGCCGATCCCGCCCGTACAGCTGGGCTGGGAATCGGGGGCTGCCTGGGGGGACAGGAGGAGGATCCCTGATATCCCATCCCAGATATCCCATCCCTGATATCCCATCCCAGATATCCCATCCCAGATATCCCATCCCAGATATCCCATCCCA